GTTTAAATTTAAAAGGTTATGAGGTTTGGACATTACCAAAATTTTAAAGAACCTTCATAGTGTTTTAAATGACTTTTTAAAAAAGGATTCTTTAACTTGAAAAATAGAAAATCCTGTATTTAAAAATCTAAGTATTTTTAAATGCATAAGGCTGTTTATACTGTAACCAAGTTATCTGGCTTAACAAAAATGCATTGGCAGTTTGGGATTCAGTTTCCTTGGCTAAAATTTGGGGATAAATATTTGAAATTTAAATGTAAAGGTTAGTTTAACACTGTCAAAGACCGTACCTGTTCTGTCTGTCTAAAACTGTGTATTTCATTCAAGAACCAAGAGAAGGGGCTGGGAAGGTGGCTCAGTGGTAGAGCACTTGCCTTGCATGCTCGAGGCCCTGGGTTCGATTCCTCAGCACCACATAAGAAAAAAGCCGGAAGTGGCGCTGTGTGGCTCAAGTGGTAGAGCGCTAGCCTTGAGCTAAAGAGCTGAGGGACAGCGCCCAGGCCCAGCGTTCAGGCCCCATGACCGGACCCCCCCCCCCAAAAAAAAAAAAGAACCAAGAGAAAAGACAGGGAGAAAAACTTAGAAACCAACATAAGACCTATCTTTAGTGGTGAGGGGTGAACAGGCAGAAGTGCAGTTCAGCTGGTCATTCCTGGTGGGACAGGCCCTGGGAGGAGTCCACCCATGGTATAAAAGAGGGCAAGCTGGCACAAACGCAGTTGATCTAACCCTAAAAAGTCGGGTTGGGTGTGTGCCCATTCCATAGGAGGGGCAAGTGGCCTATCTTTGTTCTGTCCCTTTTTCCTGTAGATAGACACTGGAAATATGATGGTTAAAATTAGTGATGTGATGATCTGATTAGTATTGCTAAAACTGCCCCTTGGATGTGTTAAAATTAAAAAGGCCTTAAAAAGAGGGTTAAAGTTTTATTTGTATAATGTGACTTGCTTTCAATGATGTTCTACAATTAAACTTGTCAGTCTGTGATTTCTTTTTTTCTCTTCTTTTTGTCACTTTGTAGTTTTTGCCTTTATAAACCCTGTGAAAGTTCAGCTCGGGGCTTCCTCCTAAGCTCCGCTGAGTCGGTGTGTAGGATGAAGCCCGAGCTGCAGCCTGCCTGAATATAGCCTTGCTTTTGGGTTGGGGCGACAACAAAACACACACACACAACACACACACACACCCCCCAAGACCCCAGTGTTTTCTATAGAAAAACTTGAGTCAATCTGGCTTGGAGTGCCTCAATGCAGGAGTCATTGTCTACTCAAACTTAATAGATTTTTTAAAAAAACTTAAAATATAAAACAATGAATGAACCAAGCAATATGTGTCTCTCAAAAATCAGTAACTCGGGCTGGTAATGTGGCTCAGTGGTAGACTGCTGACCTAGCATGCATGAAGCGCTGGGTTTGATTCCTCAGTACCACATAAACAGAAAAAGCTGGAAGTGATACTGTGGCTCAAGTGGGAGAGTGCTAGCCTTAGAGCAAAAAGAACTCAGGGACAGTGCCCAGGACCCGAGTTTGCCTGGACTGGCAAAAAAAAAAAAAAAAAAAGGCCAATAAGTCCACAATAAAGGACTTATGTAATAACAAAAAAGAAAGTTCAAACAACAAATTCAGTAAAATAGTAGGAATGATCAATATTAAGAAGGCAATGTATAAACATCAAATGAATTAAAACGGGATAACAAACCAGAAAACTCAAACACATAGCTGAATAGCATAAACAGGATATAAAAGAGGAATTCAATAAAAACATAGAAATCTTGGAAAAAATAAAATTGAAATCCTGTTTGGATGAACCTCTAGTTCTTGAAGTTGGAAATTTTTCTGGTACTATTTTTGTGTATTTTTTATTTTATTTTGTGTGGTACTGGGGCTTGAACTCAGAACCTGGAAGCTGTTCCTAGGCTTTTTTGCTCAAGGCTGATAGTCTACCACTTTAACCACAGTTCCACTTCTTGCTTTGCTGATTAACCGGACATAAGAGTCTCATGCACTTTCCTTCCCAGGCTAGCTTTGAAGCACAATCCTCAAATCTCAATCTCCTACACAACTACGGATTACAGGTGTAAGCCTCTGGCAACCAGGTGACACATTGATATTTTAAAAAATAATTGCAAGCCAGGTGCCGGTGGCTCACCCCTGTAATCCTAGCTACTCAGGAGGCTGAGATCTGAGGATCACAGTTCAAAGCCAGCCCAAGCAGGAAAGTCTATGAGACTCTCATCTCCAATAAAAACCACTAGAAAACTGGAAGTGGCATTGTAGCTCAAGCGGTAGAGCCGTTCCCCTTGAGCTGAAGAGCTGAGGGACAGCGCCCAGGCCCAGAGTTCACGCCCAACAACAAACAAAACAAAACAAAAATAAAAAGTAATTGCAATTGTTGAGATTATAGTATGTTAATGGTTTCCTAAAAATTTAATGCAAAGCCAGGAGTCAGTGGCTCACGCCTGTAATGGTAGCTACTCAAAGCAGCTGAGATCTGAGGACCTCCTTGAAAACTGTCCCAGGAAGGAAATCCTGTGAAACTCTTATCTCCAATTAACTACCAAAAAAGCCAAAAGTAAAGCTGCAGCTCAAGTGGTAGAGCACTAGCCTTGAACAAAGAAGCTCAAGAACAAAACACAGGTCCTGAGTTCAAGCCCCAGGGCCAGCATACACACACACACACACACACACACACACACACACACTAATAATAATAATAATAATGTAAATCCTATAAGGATTTTGCTCAGGTTTGGATAGGTTTGAGTGAGTCCTCCGAAAGGTCCTGTATGGTTGGCAATGTTAAGAACAGTGGGACTTTAAGGGTTAGGAGGCACTGGTGAGGTGATTTTACATCATTGCCAGCCTGATCTTAAAAGCCGTGAGTCAGGATTCTCCCCAGTGCTCTCCAGTCCACACCTTCCTCCTCTTCAGACTCCGCCCCTGTGGTTCCCACCTTTCCTACCCAAGATGCCACACAGTCATCAGGTCTCTGGTGAGACACAGGGCACTGCCCTGGACCTTCCAGAACAGTGAGCTAAAAATACACCTCTTTACACCTGACCCTGCTTCAGGCACTTTGTTGCAGCAATGAAAACAGGTTGCTTTGTTGCTTGGGTTTATAGGCACTGTTTTGTTTCACAGGCCGGTATCCTGGGAAGGTGGAATTGGCCGGTGGGCCTACAACAGGGCCTTGGAAATTGCTTTTGTTCTATAAAAACAGATTCACTGACACTGGCGGCTCATGCCTGTAATCCTAGTTACTCAGGAGGCTGAGCTCTGAGGATCAGGAGTTGGAAGGCAGCCCTTGCAGGAAAAGCCCATGGGACTCTCATCTCCAATAAACTACCCAGAAAAGGCTAGAAGTGGCACTAGCCTTGAGCACAAAGAAGCTCAGAGACAAACAAAGGAGGAGGCAACAATGCTTGATAAGAAATTCACTCAAGGGCTGGGAAGGTGACTCAGTGGTAGAGCGCTTGCCTTGCATACATGAGGCCCTGGGTTTGATTCCTCAGCACCACATAAGTAGAAAGAAAAAAAAAAGCCGGAAGTGGTGCAGTGGCTCAAGTGGTAGAGTGCTAGCCTTGAGCTGAAGAGCTGAGGGACAGCGCCCAGGTCCAGAGTTCAGGCCCCAGGACCGGACCCCAAAAAAAAAAAAAAAGAAATTCACTCATTACCTTGCCCATGTAATTGTAACCCTCTGTACGGTATTTTCACAATAAAAATAAATAAATAATAAATAAATAAAACAACAAAAAAAGCTCAGAGACAAAGCTCAGAGTTCAAGCTTCAATACTGGCAAAAATAAATAATAAATATAAATCCATAAATAATATATAAACAATATATAAATATAATATATAAACATATATTATATGTTATATACAATAAAATATAAATAAAATAAATATATAATATATAAAATATAATATATAAACAATAGGTAAATAAATAATAGTAAATATAAATAAAAACATCATTACTTGAGCCTTCAACTTAACTAAAAGCCAGGCACCTCTCCCTCCACTTTGCCTTTTGCTCCTTTGCTCTCTGTCAGTCTCTCTTGTTCCTAGGACACCAGGAACTGGTTTGGAAAAAAAAATTGTTTAAAAAGTTTAAAAAAGTGTTTTTTTAAAGTTATAATTGTCCAGAGAGGTTTCCATTCAACATGTCTGTTTGGGTACAATTTAGCGACAAGAAAAAAAAGAAAGTGACAAAAATTCCCCTAGCCAACGTGTGGGTGGCTCCCCTTTGTAATTCTAGGGCCGTGAAATCGAAAAACCAAAAACCATCTAACAAATCAAAGCAGCCTGGGTAGACAAATCCAGACAATCCAGGCGACGGGTCTCAAGTTAACCAGCAGGGCACCAGCCCCGAGAGAGGAAGCTGAGCGGAAGCGCGAGGCCACCGTGCCCCCAGCACCGGCAGCAAAGGGGGGGGCGGGGAAGGGTGCTGCGAGCTGAGGATGGAAGTTCAGATCTGGTCCGGAAAAGAATCTGTGACACCCTGATCTCCACTACCTCAGCCAAGCTTCTTCCTGGAAGTGCCCGGGCGCACACTCACACATCCGCGGAGGTGGCGTGCACCTTCACGCACATCCGCGAAGATGGCGTGCACATTCACGCACATCCGCGAAGGTGGTGGCACACTCACACCTCCTCCACCCTGCCCGACATGGCGCCCCGAGGCGGGACCTACAGTGCCCCACCCTGGGGGGGAATCCGCGGCAGGAAGGAAAAGCGTGTGCAGGGGGGTGTCAGGGTGCAGGCCCCGGCCCCCCCTCCTGCCCGGTGGGCCTCTCCCCAGCCGCGGAGGGTCGTCCCGGGCCTCCGCCGACGGCAGGCTCCGCGGTGCCCGCACATGCCCGCACATGCCCGGCGGCGGCGCACGGCCGGGCCCTCGGCATCCCGCTCCCCGCTTCATCCCGCTCCCCGCTTCATCCCGCTCCCCGCTTCATCCCGCCACGCGAGTGCCCCGACGGCCGTGCGGGTCCTGCTCCGGACTCACCAGCAGCATCAGCAGCATCAGGGCGAAGACGACGAGGGCCATGGTCCGGGCCTGGCCCCCGGGGTGGGGTGCTTCGGCTCTTCGGCGGGGTCGGCGGGGTGGGGTGCTTCGGCTCTTCGGCGGGGTCGGCGGGGTGGGGTGCTTCGGCTCTTCGGCGGGGTCGGCGGGGTGGAGTGCTTCGGCTCTTCGGTGGGGTCGGCGGGGTCGGCGGGGTGGAGTGCTTCGGCTCTTCGGTGGGGTCGGCGGGGTGGAGTGCTTCGGCTCTTCGGTGGGGTCGGCGGGAGCTGGGAGAAGCGTTCTCCGTGCGCAGCGCGTCCGACTGACTGCCCGGTGCACTCGCGGTGCCTTCTTAAAGCTGTGCGAGCGGTGTTGCAACATCTTCGGAGATTCCGCCCAGAAGACCCAAAGAGGCGTGCGCAGTGCCTTCCGGCTTTCCCGCGGCTCCCGGTCGTCTCCCCTCCCCCTCCCCTCCCCTTCTCCTCACTCTCCCCTCCCCCTTCCCTCCCGCTCCCCTCCCCCTCCCCTCCCCCTCCCCCTCAATCTACCCCTCCCCTCAATCTCCCCCTCCCTCTCTCTCCCTCTCCCTCTCCCTCCGAAAACCCCAACCTTAGATCTCAGCCACCTGAGTAGCTAGACTTACAAGGCAGGAGCCGCTGGCGGCCTGCTCAGGGAATATATATGTATGAAAATGGAACCATAAAATCTGTTGGAATTAGGAGGAGTAGGGAGCCAAGAGAGGAAGCGTGAAGGGAGTGAGTCTGCTTAGAGCTCATTGTGTCCATATGGTGGAGGACGGGAGGATGGAATAGGATATTTGACTTGGATTGTGTAAAATGGATAATGAATGATTTTAAGATACAAATGTAAGTGTGCTGTGGATACGACTTCCCTGGTAACCCATTACTTTAGCTAGTAACTGTAATTGTAACTTTGTGACTCTGCTTCTGCTGTTTTCTGAGCACTGGGAGCCCTAACCCAGGGGACCATCACCACCTTTTGTTCTATTCCCCTGCTTCCCACAAGCAAACCTTGACAGGAAAATCTTGGCGGGGAAATTTAAACTTAAGGTGTGCGTTTCTTGTAACAATCCTTGGCTAAAACCAATACCATCCTACCCCTCCCCCACCCCTGGCCCCAAATGCTTAAAAGCCTGTGTGGGCTGCCACTGGGGGCTGTTTCCTAGGATCCCAATCCAGGTGTGGTCCTGGCACTTGCTCAGTAAAATCTTTTACATTTTCACTGCGGACTGAATAATCTCACTGCCCCTCCCCCCTACAGTGTGACTGTATAGAAATATAAAAATGAGGGGCTGGGAAGGTGGCTCAGTGGTAGAGCACTTGCCTTGCATGCTCAAGGCCCTGGGTTCGATTCCTCAGCACCACATAAGCAAAAAGAAAAAAGCCGGAAGTGGTGCTGTGGCTCAAGCGGTAGAGTGCTAGCCTTGAGCTGAAGAGCTGAGGGACAGCGCCCAGGCCCAGAGTTCAGGCCCCACGACCGGACCCAAAAAAAAAAGAAAAAAGAGAAATATAAAAATGAAAACCCCGCTTGGACAATTAGTATAAGCCAATTAAGTCTTTTAAATTGATGTGAAGTGCACACTCCTCAAAGACCACCGGAGACCACCAGAGACTCAGACACTGAAACTGCAAAATGCAAGGTTTATTCAGAACAAGCCTAGGCTCGGCCTCGTCCCATACACTCGGACACAGCAGAGGGAGGAGGAGACCCCCTCCTCCCCCCAGCAACATTTCAGCAGGGTTTATAAAGGCAAAAACCACAAAGTGACAAAAAGATACATTATCCAGGTGTTCAAACAGAATTACATGTGAATACAAATCTGATTGGCTCGGGGCTAGGACTAGTAACATTCCAGGGCAGTTAGTGTCAGCTGGGAGTTACAGAACGGGATGGGCCATCTGTTTGGGGGGGTAGTTGTGGTCTGGTGGTTTCGGTAATTTGTACAGGTTCTGGTCAATTTCAACACATAATAATACCTCTCAGCACAATGACACTTCTCAGAAACATCTTGGTCAACAGGGCTTAGGACAAAGGCAGAAAGTTAAACATAAAATGTCGCCTGAGCAAGATAGAGTTACTCTTGGTCTCTCATTCCCCCCTCTGTTTTGATCATATTCTCAATCTTGGGAATATCATACTCCTGAGCCAGAAACATGCACGGAAGAGTATTTTAAGTACTGTGTAACATGAGTATGGTCCCCAATCTAGTTTTTATTAAGCAAATAAGGCCCAAAGGTACTACCTGCATTGATAACACACTCAGGTTATTACCAGAGCCAAACTAGGCTGTGACTATAGAGTGGATTTCCAGTCACTATGCACTGAAGTGCCTAAGGTGAGCAAGCCAGTGATATCCTTGCCCCCAATATCCACTGTGGGAATAGAGAGGGTTTCTGGATATCACCCAAAAGAATGTCCCACAAGATCTTAGCTTTAGCAGCTTTCAACGGGGAAGCAGTCTTAGGTGATGGAATGAGGCAGGAGTTCAGTCTACTTTTACCACGGTGGAGGTGGATGGAGGTGGTCTGTGTGAAGATGCAGATTTCCTCCAGGTGATTGTCAGGCTGTCATTGAACTTTCTCAGTGGCCCCAAGGAACTGTCACACCTCCTCGTGCTGGGCTGCAAATTTCTACACAGACTGGTTAAGGATATATTACATAGGCTTGGCAGGCTGTGGCCCCATTGATTTTTAGGACCGTTTAGACAATAGCCCTGGACAATTTACCAAAATAACAACTTTCTTTCTAACCAGATATTTTTGTAAATAAACACAGAAAGCTTAGTCTCGTAACTATCTCTGACAGATGCAGTCTCCACACTTGCACACCTGTTAACACTATTAATTATTTTTTATCTATTTTGCCTCGTTTTTCCAAAACTGACTCTGGACTCTTGATCTTAAAGGGGGTTGATGGGCGAAGGTCCATCTTCTGTAACTTCTTCAAGCTGACTTCAGGGGTGTTGATCCTACCTAGCCAGGAACTTATAACCTTAGTCTATTTTACAAAGAGGTTATCAGGGTTAGATGTCATTAAGAACAATATTTTAACTTTTTACAACTGCACAGAACTTTTCTCTGACTACAGCAGTGTAGCTTGTTTAGCACTCTGGTTTGTAAAAGCATCTTTCTGGATGACTTAGGAATGCAATCTCTAGTGACCCTAACAATGCCTAAGTTACCTATGTAGACCTTCAGGAAGATATCAGTAGAAACACACTCTCAGGTTTACAAACTTTTTTCCTGAGCAGACGAATTTCATGTAGCTGGTGTCAGCTCAAAAGTTACTGCCAGTTAGAGCTTTTGGCACAGAAAGGGGTTGAGATTTAAACTATCCCCCAAATTTTATAACATTAGCTTTTTACTACTATCACAGAGGACTGGCAAGTTCCTGTCCCTTACAAAGTAGATAGTCATGGACATTAGGCATGCTTACAAACTATCTTCCCATGACCTCCTGGCTCTGACCAATTTTTGAAGGGCCACACAGAAATGACTCTAGGATCTGACATTTCTGCTATCCAAGCAGTGGCTTACTGCCTCTGGATGCTCCTCTATTGCTCTTGTCCCGGGGAGTGTCTTCTCTACACTGAGATAAATGCCTCATTGGCATTTCCCTTAGCTGGTCGCTGGACTTGAACTCGGGGCCTGAGCACTGTCCCCCAGCTCTACAGCTCAAGGCTAGCACTCTGCCACTTTGAGTCCCAAAGCAACTCTGCTTGCTCTTTCAGCACTCTGCTGGCTGAGTAGAGGTGACAGTCTCACAGGGACCTTTTTCTGCCCAGGCTGGCTTCAAACCAGTTTGCAGATCAATGAGTCTTATAAAAAGGCCACTTTACTCCAATTAAAAGCAACAAGCTGGTCAACATAGAAGTAGCTTTTAAGCATGCTCTTACTTGAAGCTTATTAAGAGCCAAAGTTACATCTGACAAACTTGTAAGAATCCTCTGGGCTTTGCTCTGGGCTTGCTGGAAACTGTTAAAAAAAAAAGGGGGGGGCTGGGAAGGTGGCTCAGTGGTAGAGCGCTTGCCTTGCATGCCTGAGGCCCTGGGTTCGATTCCTCAGCACCACATAAGCAAAAAGAAAAAAAGCCAGAAGTGGCGCTGTGGCTCAAGTGGTAGAGCGCTAGCCTTGAGCTGAAGAGCTGAGGGACAGCGCCCAGGCCCAGAGTTCAGGCCCCACGACCGGACCCAAAAAAAAAAAAAAAAAAAACCTATAAGAGCAAACTGGAATAGCAATTCTTTTGGTAATCCTAATTTTTAATTTGTGCACTTTGAGGCAAGTATTAAAAACAATTTTTCTTTTAAATTTTATATCCAAAAATACATTCCTAATTTCTTAAAGCCTTTTTTTTTTTTTTTGTCGGTCGTGGGGCTTGAACTCTGGGCCTGGGCGCTGTCCCTCAGCTCTTCAGCTCAAGGCGAGCGCTCTACCACTTGAGCTACAGCGCCACTTCTGGTTTTCTGGTGGTTTATTGGAGAGAAGAGTCTCACGGTCTCTCCTGCCCGGGCTGGCTTTGAACCTCGATCCTCAGATCTCAGCCTCCTGAGTAGCTAGGATTACAGGCATGAGCCACCAGCACCCGGCTTCTTAAAGCCTTTTATTAATCTCTTTTAATACTTTATACTTTAGTTTCATTTGCGTTTTGAAAAAATCCCTTAAAATCTTGAGCCTAAGTGTACTCATTGTCTCTTGGCTGCTTGTTTTAAAACAGATACACATTAAAAATTTTAAACTCAAATAATTTTTCCTTAATGCAAAAATTACAATCATCATAACTGTACCAAGAAGCTAGACTTAACACCTTTATAACTTTTAAAAACATCCGAATTGTAAAACATCATTAAAAGCAAGTCACATTATACAAATAAACTCTTTAACCCTCTTTTTAAGGTCTTAATTTTAACACATCCAAGGGGCAGTTTTAGCAATACTAATCAGATCACCACATCAGTAATTTTTACCATCATGTTTCCAGTGTCTATCATCAGGGAAAAGGGACAACACAAAGATGGGCCACTCGGTCCCTCCTATGGAATGGGCACGCATCCAGTCCGACTCTTTAGGGTTAGATGAACTGCGTATGTAATTGTAACCCCTTTCTGTACAGCACCTTCATAGTGACAATATTAAAAAGTCATTTTTAAGCCAGGTCCTTAAAATAATTACACTTGTAATCACAGCTACTCAGGAAACTGAATCTGAGCCTCGTGATTTGATGTCAGCCTGGCCAGTTAAGTCTAGAAGACTTATCTCTGATCAACCAGCAAAATCCCAGAAGTGGATTGTTTTATCCAGAACATTTCCTGAATACCAGAATGAGATCCAGACACAATGAAGCTAGGATATCTTATTTCTCAT